TATAGCTATCTATTTGTGGGATTAGAAGTGGTAGGGATCGTTCAAATGAATTTTGGACTAGTTCCGACACAGAGAGTATTTGAAGTGATTTTCAGAGGTGAACATGATGCTCTCTTTTACTAACATGTATACTTTGTTTAAACAATAGCCTGAAGGAGCTAATTTAACCTCAAGACACCCACAGTGGATTGGGGCCTGGTGGTTAGCATACATTGCAACCGGTGTGGTGATTTTTGTCTGCGCCATTGTAATCCTTGGATTTCCTCGTGAATTACCAGGATCAAAAGAGATGCGCGATAAAGCCATTGAAGAAGGAAACTTGCCAAAAAGTGATCACAGATTACAAGGCAGTTTAAAAGATATCGTGCCAGCCACCACCAAGCTCTTAAAGAATCCAACGTACATGTTTAACACTATGGCCACAACTGCAGCATCGTTTTTCGGGGCCGGATTGGGAGCCTTTATCAGCAAGTTCGCCGAGTTGAAATTTAATCCGAACCCAGGCTTGGCTGGTGTTACTCTTGGGGTAGTGTTCCTTGTAGGTGCCACAGGTGGTTAAAATTTCTTGTCTTTTTTGCTATCCCTTTGTTTGCCTGTCTCGTGCTCTTGGAGTTCTAAGAGAACCGTGCTTACAAGGTCATCGTATTCAGTGTCTGTTATGCTAGTTCTCCGAACTTTTCACTCAGCGTACAATATGCATTTAATAATACTCCCGGTCGAAGACAAATACGTTGGGTCTAAAATAACTTCAGGGTGATTTCTCTTGGAAGGAGGCTTTTAGGAAGAGTCTCTTAGCTTGATCGTCTCTTGATTAATACGTATGTCTATTTAACTTTTCTTTCAGGTGGTATTTTTTTGAGTGGTGTCATCGTTAGGCGGTTTAATTTGAAGAATTCGTGCCGACTGTCTGCAATGTGCTGCCTTTTTCTTCAACTTTTTACCGTATGGACAGCAGCAACTTTTATCATCCCGGGATGCAATCAGATCGAATTGGCGGGTATCACCAAACCCTATTACAAAAGGTGTGGAAAATTTCTGTCATTCTCGGTAAAAAATTTTAAAGTGATCTATAGAGGCACACCTCGACTCTCAGGAGTATAAGCAAATGGCGTTGGTGACATGTCAGTATTCTGGTGCATCACTATACTTGCAAAACCAGAGGAACTTTAGTCAAAAGAATTGGATAAGCTTGGAAAATTGCAGCTACTTTTGATTTTGTGCTTTTCCTGCAATGAATAAATCAGGATGAAAGTTTTTTCAGTATTGGTGGGAATGATAATTTAAAAAAATATCCCAATAAGGCCAGAATTTCATATGAATGTCGTGGCAGAACCAAGTAGAATCCTATTTTATATTTATACTGGGTGGGGCCACGGGCCAAAAAGTATACACCACCCAACTAAGGTGTTTCCCTCTACATAAGAAGAAGCTTTTTTTCACCTCCGTCCTTGACATCATTGGGGCTATAATGGTTTGATCTTTACCTTTTCGTTTATCACGAATAGCCAGTCACAAATCGGAAGTGTAACAGCCCCATGCAATGCGAACTGTAGTTGCTCGATCGCAAATATTGATCCCGTGTGCGGAGAGGATAACTTGAGTTATTTTTCGCCTTGCCACGCTGGGTGTTCAAAAGTGGAAGGATCTAAGGTATGAAATTCACACATGTTTGTTGTAATAGTCTCTAAGGAAAAAGGGATTTCGCGCTCTGATCGGTTCAGCATTGCGTTTACCTTAGGAACTGCGAGGTAATCTCAGTTTAAAAAAATTAGGTTACAACATGATCCCCTGTACTTTGTGAAGCTATTCAACTTCAACAAAATTCACAACTTTCTGTTCAGTATTAACAATAAATTAAATTTTTTTTTAGGCATACCAGTGTAGTTGTATTCCTCCTATTGGGAATGGGACCGAAGCAACAGCCGCGAAACGCTACTGCGACCGAGGACCAGGCTGCAAGAATTTTCTGTATTTCCTCTTAGTTTCTTGTTTGCTAATCTTAGCCGTTTTCCTAACAGCAATACCAAGCAAAACCGTCGCTCTACGGTAAGAAAATGTTTCCTTTCACGGAAAATGTCTCTAACACTGCTAGATTCGCCGACGAATCACTGCGAATAGTCCCCTGACTATCAGATTTGACTGATTTACACGGAGGTGCAGCTGCGCCTCCACTCGTTGGGAATAAGAGTTACATCAGAACCAAATAAACGTCTGTGAGAGTAGATTTGCGGTTAATTATACACAGGGAGTAGTCTTATTAGACTGATTACAGGAAATTCTCCACTCGGATGTATTACGATCTCAGTGTTTTCAACATTGCCAATGAACAAGACGAGATTATCATTGTATACATCATTGATTCACTGCCTTCGTGAAAGACATTTCCAGAAATTGGTGACGCTCTTCTTCATAACACATTGATGGATTTTCTTGAAAAAAAACGTTAATAGTTGAAAGTGATCGTAAAGCCGGAGGTATTCACGAAGTTTCAAAAGCGTCCAGGGCTATCTCATATCAATCGACTTTTCTATTTTACTCTCCACAGATGTGTACCGGATAATCAAAGATCCTACTCCCTAGGTTTCCAGTTTATTTTTCAGCGCTCTCTTGGCTTTATGCCAGGACCCGTTGTGACTGGTTGGATATTTGACTATCTTTGCCTTCTCTGGGGAGAAAGCTGCGGAAAACGAGGTCGATGTCAAATATACGATATCAAGAAGCTGTCGTTAGCAATAACAGTTTTGGGATGTATTATGAAAGGTAAGGTTTCAGGGGGCCATAGTTACTGCCATCATCAATCGAATAAATACAGGACAGCTTCTGATTTTTTCAATGATGGGAGATAAAAAGCATAGTACATTATTCCGTAGTATTTGTAATTGTATGCGCATTAACCTACTTTGTATCAAACAAGCAACTTTAAACCTTTTGCCACCCAACCAAGAATTCTTCTACCAAGGATAACATTCCTTACCTTTGCCCTTTCTCAAACTTTTGCATTACCATAACGATTCCGGATTCTTTGCAGTCTTATGGAAAACACCTTCATGATGTGAAACTTAGGGGTATCAGGGGTTAATAACACTAAACCCAATAAAAAGTAAGGCAGAAGGCAAATTTTTTGGGGAAACAAGGCACTTTCAGTGAAACCTGGGTAGGTGCTTCGCAGGAGCCATAAGCCTTTCGCTGTCACGAGCAACCAATGCAACGGTAATACAACATGTGGCTTGGTAGTCCAACTAGTATATGGGTGGCGTGAGTTCACATTCCGTCGAAGCCTGTATTTCTTGCAAGTTTTTTTAATTGAAATTTCATGATTGTAGCTCACAAGTATTCTTTACTTAAATATCTGTAACAGGTAAAAATGTAGTTTATTATTTTTCCCTTTTTAATGCCGATAGCAAATAAGAGTAATTCTAAAGCTTACAATAAGTTGTATCGAGGTAGGGAAAGTTTGACATCTGAATGCACTCAAAAGACTAAATTTGTCCTTTGTTAAAGCCTGTCTTAAAACACCTGCTTTTCCTCCAAGTGTTAAATTCGTCTAACTACTGTTTTGTTCCTAATTCTCAGGTCTGGCTGTGTTATTCTTTTTCCTGAGCTTTTGGTTTTGCAAATCAAGCTACGATGAAGATGATGTAAACGAAGACCAAACTAAAAACGAAATTGAAATGACGGGAGAGTCTTTGTCGAAAAAAACTGTACTTAATTAAGTAAACAATGTGACGGTTAGACTGTCTATATAAGCCGGCCTCTGTAACTGGGGGGGTCTCGATGGGGTCAACCATAAGCCGAGAAACGGCCGAAAAATTCAGTCGTAAGGCGTAAAAATTGACAAAAATTAACCGTTCGTCGTAAAAAGAAATTATCCGTAAATTTTTTTTCTGGTGACCATAATGGAAAGAATTTTAACCATAAGCCGTAAAACAAGAGAATATGAACCGATCATGATCTTTTGCCGTAAAAACCATCCTCCACTAGTTGCGGTGACAATTTAAGTAAGATTGGGGTATTGGTCTATGTCACAATTTAAGAATTTCCAGCATTTTTTATTATCCGTGTTCTGATTGTATATTCTATAACGTGTATTACCATTACTGTATTATGCGTATGACTATTATTGTATGAATCAGTTAACCATTCTTCCGGTTGCGCTATATTAATACTATGGACCATAGTGAGGGTAGTAAGGGGAGGGGAAGAGGGTTCCGATCTCGTTGATCAAAAAAATTCACGCGTCACGTGTATTTTGAACAGTATTTCACGCGTCACCAATTTAAAAGGCAAAACTTCAAATGCATATTTGTAAAAGTCACGCGTCACGAATTAATTTGGGCTTCAGTTATGCGTCACGTTAAAAACCTCACCCTCCATGATAAAAATGTTAATGTTGACACCAAGAAGCTAGCACTAAGACAATTAGAGTTGTGTCCATTAATCACTTTTTATAAAAGGATTCGAGAACAGATTTGGAACCCATGACTTCCCTTACACACTTGTGTCCTGATCATTTAATTTCTTGCCGTATTCTACCGTTTTCCTGACGCTCTTCGCTTCGTCTAAAGTAGTTCGTTTGCGACAATACCAAAATGAAATGAAATAGAATAAAGAAGCCAACACTGCAGAAAGAAAAATAAAGTACAGTTAAGGTGAAATCTTAATACAATTGCTGAAGTGATAGTTATAATTATGGTTGAAGTTAAAGTTCACTCTCGCGAGTGAATGACTCATAAGAAAAGGTGTATAAGGTCTACGTTTTTAAGCTTGGTTAGTGTGTAGAGT